AAACTGGCAATCCTGCCGCTACAGTCCTGCACGCTCATGCTTTCCGAGATGGTGCTTCTGTGCAAATGGCCGGGTGCGACTGGTGCGACTAATGCTTCGGGGTCCCGAAATCTGGTTCCCGCCACCCCGAATAAATGTTTGGGTGCGACTCGCGTTCCCACCGCAGTACGTTGCGGATCTTGCGCTCATTTTGAACTCATAGGGTGGGAGCCTCTTCGTTTATGGGGACTTGGACTGCTAGGCCGTTGTAGGCACTCGTTCAAAGCTTGGTGTCTAAGCTGGCATACAGTACTGGCTCGAGCTTAGAAAACTACAAGCTGGCGAAGCCTGCTGGTAGGTGCAGCGTGCTGGTCAGCACGAGCCTAATCCTGAACGGTGGCTGTGCATCCAAGCAGCGTTGGTAGCACACCACTGGCCTTATCATCGTGGCAGCACTCTTCAAAAACGCTTGAATGAAACTGCACAGCTCCAGCAAAAAATGCCAGGCACACTGAAGACAGACCAGTCGTCTGCATGGCGCGAGGCAGCGTCGTCCTTTCCTGGTGCTCTCCACTTGGTCATGGGCGCATTGGCACGTTCGCTTCAGACAGACCGGCGTGACATAAAACCTCTCGAAGGCTGGTTGCGACTTGTGTCGGATCACAAGAATTCCTAAATAGGCGACGAGCTCCGGAGTACCTAAACTGCCGGGCGAGGCTCTCATGCCCTCGATGGACCCAAGGTTCCACTCGTTGAGGCGCCGGTCCTGGCGATTTGCGGACTTGGATACACCGGCTAACCGATGCATTCTGGCTCCAGTTCTGGGACGGCCGCTGCTGTTCCCTCCTGTCCCACTTCGACTCCGATTCCGATTCCAACTCCTGCCTGATTAACGGCAATTCGCGTCGGGGGCATGTATGACATGCAGATTGCATGTCGAACTTGCTGATAAGGTGGTTCGCTTATTGTCAGAAATGGAGTGTTGATTGCAACATGGCTTCAGCATCACCTGGCTCGGCTGTCCCCGAATCCCCTGTGAAAAAACAAATGCTACGCATCTAGGAAAAACGGGAAAAGTTTCCCAGCAGCCCACGTTCTAGTTGTGCGTTAAAAACACTCTGCGACCCTTTCGCCAAGTCCTTGAGAGAGCTGTTTAACGAGGCCATACATTCGGAAATGGGAACAAGAAGGACGAAACGTCTTTTTCGATGCTTACGGTGGTGATGCTATTGCTTGCTTCCTCCTGGACTTCCACGGATTTGCCCAGGGATGCTGCAATGACCGAAGCTGTCAGTGAGGCACGTCGCAGCTCGCCTCTCCACGTGGCTGGGCCAAGGCGGGAAGAGCAGGCTAAGGTCATGGAGCAAATCATGGGCAATCACTTGCAATCATTAGCTGATGAAGCTTCTGAAGCGCAAGACTGCTTGGGATATGCCAGATGCACATCCAAGGGCGTCACTGTGCAGAAAATCCCGCGAGTGAGCACAACAGCTGAGCCCAAGTCACTGGAGTAGACGGTGCGAGGGTGCTCACGCGATTCCAGCAGCTTCCTGAATCAAAAGGTTGGTCTAAAAGTCTTTCCAACCCGTAGGTCCGTAGGTCAACTGGATGTCAGCTCGTTAGCTTCGTGGCTCGAAGAGCTTCGCTTCTTCTAGATCCCGGCGTCTGAAGGCAACGAGCCAAGAGTCGTCAGCGCTCGCGCACACCTCGGCTGATGAGAAATCCTACCAAGCCGACACTAGATTCTCTCGCAGGTCTACTGTGTCTGGTCCTGTCACCCGCACAGGCACACCCCAACAAGCAGGAAAAAGTGTCAACAGAGGAGTCGCCACCTGAACGCGCGTCAGCTAGTTTCCCGTCAGCTTTTCTATCCGAAGGGCATTTGTGCTTGCAGGCGTCCGCGCTCATTCAGGTTGATGTCCGTTGTGCCCTGCACTCGCAGCTGTTGATTCCAGTCCTGGGTACTTTGGGGACTTTCCGTGCGACTATCAGTGAATCCCAAGCTCGACTGTTGTCGCTGCCAGGCTTCTGTCTCACCATGACGGACAACAATGACCTCGCCGGCAAATCTCGCACGAAACATGGCAACTCTCGGACAGAGCACGTAAGCTGCCTAGTGCTTTCGCAAGACGTATGCCCATGACAGAAAGCGGCCTCGCAGAAAGGCCGCGAAAGGAGATGGCAGCCTTGCCTCCCAAAGAGCATTCTTGAAAGTAGCCCTTGATCGAGCCCGACTTAGGGTCAGTTTGAGGCATATCACGGCGAGTGCAAGCTGAAAGCCGTTTGGTTGCTTGCGAGTCCTGGCGAAAATGCTCACAGCCACAAGCACTGCGCAGGGCCGCATGGCACATCAGGAAGCAGAAAGGCTCAAAGCCGCTCGTACTGTAGCTGTCATGCCTAACTCTACTGACTTTCAATGGTGGACAGCTATGTGTGTGTGTGTGTGTGTGTGCGCTCTCTTGGCCGGGAAGGTAGCAGTCTTTGCTCATGCATGCCACATCCCACTTGCATGCGATGTAACCCAGCGCTGTCGAGGCGTAGAGGCGCAGAGGTGTCAAATCGTGACGAAAAACATTAAGTCTTTAAGTCATTAGCTGCAGTAATATCAAGCGTCCCGGAGCAAGCAGCCCCATGTGCCAGAAGGATGCTTGCGGTGCAACAGTCCATTGATGTAACTGCGCTCACGAATCCCCACGTTCCAACATGCGACAACTTGAACCGGCAAAGTTGCAAGCTGCCGAATTGCAAGAGTGACTACTGAGTCGACTAACTACTGCCAGTACCTGAGCAAGCTTCAAGGCTTCAATGCCTTTGTGTCCAAGGGCTCAGGATCCAGCTTCAGATTTGGATTGCTGTACCTGCCCGCGGATCGCTGACAAAAGAGGTGACGTTGGGGGAAAACTGTGACTCAGCCCACCAGCCCCGACCCTGCACCTTGCAGCCAGGTCACTCCAAGTATCTGCTCATGGCATACGCCCCAGGAGTCCAGGAGCCTGGCTGGACTCCTGCATAAAACAACCTAGCCCTAAAAAAGAGCTGAAAAGTCCTCGCGCTAGAAGTAGCACAGTGAGCATGTCGCAGTACGGATAACACAAGAAGCCACGAGTCAGTCGGTCCCGTGGATATAGCCGGAAAGCTCCAAGCTTCAATCTACTCGGACTCTGTGGATTCCTGGGTTTGGTGTGTTTGCGCCCCTGGACGGTACCGTGGGAGGCAAGCCTGTCTATTTTGCTTCAGTTTGATTGCTCGGCATCCCAGCTCTGGCAAAGGCTGTGTGGTGACTAATCGTCGCATGCGTGGCGGCTGCTTGTGAACAGGATCTTCGGCATTCTTGTGAACCTTCTTGACACCATCAGGGAGCCAGTTGAGCGAACATGCGCGGGTTCAGAAATGTCTTCTTGTCCTTCGGCATCGCAAAACAAAAATCGCTAGCTTTGCCAATCCGCGCACGCCTCCATGTGGCTGACTGAGATTGACTGTGAGTCTGCAAGTCTCTTCTGGGGGCTCCGGTGTAGAGCTGCCCACGAAAGCAAAACCTGTACATGCTTTGAATCGCAGGATGGCCAGTCCCAAGCATCGTGCAGCGCTGATGCTGTCTTACAAATAGCACAAATGCCTTTCTCGAACCCTGCATCTCCGATCTCCAGCTTAGACTGTAACATTCGGCAACATGCATGAAACTCCAGCACTGCCACTCTACGAATCAAAGTCTCAAGCACCAGAGGTGTTTCTGTTGCGTGAAGTCTTTGACCCGGGCCCAGGCACTCGGAACTGTACTCCGCGCGCTCAATTCAGAAGGACACCATCTTGGATTTCTCGTAGCCAAGTGCCTGTCCAGGAATCCACGCACTCACTTTGCTAGCACTGAACGCCACATTGAAGAGCTATTTGTTTCCAGAGCTGGGAGGCGTGGACACTTTGGATGCCAGCGGAGTCAGTCGGCACGCGCAATGCCACGCTTCAAACACGCTGCTAGGAACGGTGCGGCTTCAAGGGACATGCACCCACATGCTGAGTTCTCCTTCGAAGCTCGAGACGACAAGGCAGTCATCTGAAGACACAGGTGGACGTAGCATGAACTTTCTAGGACTCCGACCTCCAGGTTCTTCTTGCACGCAAATTCGATCATCGGAGGCCTCTGTCAAGTGAAAGCTGGCGCGCACAAACGCCATTACTTTGAACATGGAGCTTATGACTTATGAGCTTCCTCATCTTGTGCTTGGGCAGAGGCGGCCCACACATCAGCACCAGAGTGTCCGCTGATGGCGGTGGCAAACACTCTTTGATCCTGGTGCGTCGAGAACCCTGATCTGACTCATGACTTGTGCCAGGCAATCCATATAGCAGCCGGTGAACCCGTACTTCCACGGATAGCTTACGCGCGGAAGACCACGCTAGAACACTGTCTGTCAGGAACTGGCGGTAGGCGGATTTGTACTTCTTGGCAGAGCTATTCATCCACGTGGGGTATGTGAAACTTGTTGAGAATCAGTATTCATGCTTCCCTGTACATCCAGCATTCCTCGTGCTGTGTGTCCAGCTTGACTTCCCTAACACCGCCACGGCAGTGTGGGGCTGCGCTGTTCTATGACAGCCGAGAACACTAGGAAACAGATTCGGACAGCAGCGCCGAGTTCCGAAAAACTGCGGCGCTGCAGGATATCCACGTAACTTGAAAGAGGGCTTCGGATTATGATTAAACACACAAGGCCGCATGCATCTCCGACGGAAAGTAAAAACTATTCGGGGACCATGCTCGCGGCGCTGCAAAATAAAGCAGAGCTTCCTTGCGTGGCCCGTCCGCACATAGCTGAAGTCTAAAATGTGCTTCGGGCAGGCTTCACGCGCCAAAAAAATTCAAATTAGCCCTGCCAAAGGGGGAATATCCAAGCGTCTCAGCAAAGGCCGGCTTACATGCTGAACGCATGCCCGCAGCAGCTGACATCAACAGCTGCTCGGCCCGGCGGCACCACTGGTCTCAAAACAACAGTCACCGAAGAGTTTAAATCCGTCTTCCATTGTTAGAATGTAACCATGGGTTTTTTTTGGGCTCCGATGGTCGAAATGAGTCCAGGTGACAACCACTCGGCTGTCCTGTGCGAGAGCTCGGGCCTGTTCCGCCAACTGCGGTTGGTGGTGCCCAGCAATGGAATAGTTCTCAGTTCAGAGCTGTATGCCTCGAAGGATTGGCGTGGTGCTGATGCCCGGCTGAGGTGGTCTCTGCAAACCGTATGCCACGGGCACATCTGGTGGCCAGGCTTGACTAGCCTCAGGGATCAGCACAAGTTCAAGTCACCCGGATGCTGCATCTTGAAGAAGCCTCCTGACGCGCCTGAGCCTTTGGTTTCTTCTTTCTTCGACCACTGTGTAGATGGCAAAAGTCGCAAAAAGCACCTTTCGTGCAGAAGCGTCTCGGCGGCTTGTGGTAACCTCAGATCAGAGAGCAAAAGAGTGAGCAAAAGGCCTCGGAGCCTCGCGACGACTCTCAAACCGTATGCCAGGTCGCTACAAACAAGGCAAAGCGGATCCACCCCGTCGCCCATGTGCAAAGCAGAGCCGAACGAGAGCTGCTGCCCTTCCAGACCCTGATTCAGGCGTAGAACATCCTTAGCTTCGAGCTGCGCCTACAGTATCCACCAAAACATGCAGCCACAGCTCAGTGTCAACCGATCCGAGTCACGCTGAGAGCAACTTGCCTCTGAGAGCTGAAACCTGAGGCCGCACGGAGTGCAGTTCACGCGTCGCGCGTGCGCCGGCCATGCCACTTCCACTGGACTGAGTCGCACGCCCTCCACGCGAGTATCAAAGCCTCGATGGATGGACGCATTCATACATTCAGTCACTTTGCGCAGACACGACGTCAGCAATAAACATATTGGGACGAAAACATTTTTCCCAATATGTTTAGTGCTTACGTAATCAAAAGAAACACACCTGAAGCATGCGGGATGCGACGGACAAATGGGACTCTGAGCAGACTTCGCTATGCTTCGAGGCCATGCATCCAAGCAGCTGTTCCATCCCACGCCGGGCAACCTCGATGCCGAGAACACCAACTTGCTGGGGAACTCTGACGGACCCAATAGAAAAGCCGCTTCGCCTTAGATGCATCGTCAGTATAGTGTCCCTAAGCCCTAGACCCTAAGCATGCTGCTGACTGCTTGCGTGTGCCCAACTTAACAGTACCGTGAAGCAGCATGGCAGCAAAACCCCAACTCTGCTAACTTGTTCAAGTGTCGATCCTCGGCAGCACTACTGCTGCTCGTGTCGGCATCTGTGGCCTCGACAAAGTGAGATGAGGAACAGCATCATGCAGCATCCCTATTTGCAAGTCTCTGTCTCGCCTTGTCATCTTCCGATCGCGGGGTCCTTGCCGTGTGGGCATCACCCTGCGGCTGACTCGAGGAGGCCTGCGTAGGAAGGCAGTGAGGCACTGGGAGGCTTGGCCTGCACTCGTGCGCCCTTCAACAACCTAGCCTGTGGGTTTTGCACGTTACTCTCAAATAAGAAAGTCTGTATCGGATATGCCGTCAACCGGAGGCTTGTGCGGCTTTGAGGTCCAATCAGCTACAACATGAAGGAGCTCAGCTGAAGCGAAGGGTTCACTACACGCCGGAACTGAAAGATGACGCACATGCTAGACCAATCCAAGCCCTGCAAGATTCTCTTGCTGAGAGGTAGATCCCATCCTCGAGTCCTTGCATGTTCTCGCCCTTTCGCAAACGAGACCTAAACCTAACAGGAGATGAGGGGAGATATGCGGAAGGGGCACAAACCTTTTTCGCCGACGTCAAACCCCACAAGCCCCTCGACTCGAAATTGGATCGTTGGCTGGGGGGCTGTAGTGACTAGTGAACGGTGGAAGCCCTCGACCTTAAAGGAGTGTTAGTTAGTGTTGGGTCGGAAAACATTGCTTACTGATTCGGGTCTTTTGGTTCACACCAGTCTCATGCGGTGCTGGCACTCCGCTCGAGCAAAGGATGCTTGGGGGCTGCCCTTCGTGCCTCCCCTGTGACGCGGAGTGAGCTCGGAGCCGACGTCCGCGCGTCTGTGCTGTCGCTCTGGGCGGCGCTCCCTCCGTTCCGATCCTCACTCCCAACATGACTCGACCGTGTCGACAACACAAATTCGGGTAATCCTGCGGCCTTGGATGCTCCGAAATTCGGTATGGGGATACAGTCTGTCTCCGGAACAGAGATGATGCTTCCTGCCACACAAGGCAGCCTCTGAGGTTCAAACTACACCTCCTGGAGTCCCTCAAGAACTCGCATGCTGCCTCTACAAGATGCCTGCACTGACAACCAAGCCTTCCGCCGCCGCATCGCTAGCGGGGATGCGACCGCGGGGTATCTTGTTCATGCTCGCTGGCCCGGCCTCGCAGGTAGGACAGCAAGCGGAAGCCGGCTAAGGCGAGCCCGGAGAGCTGGTGGAATTGCCTTGGCCAAAGCGCCTCCTGGCGCCTAGTAGCGGTCTGGCTCCATGGTCCACTTCACAGGCGGAAATGGCCGGTCCCAGTCTTCTCTGCGCCCGAATGACTGCTACCGCGGGTTGCTTATCTTTGGGACTCTGACAAAGATCTCTGCTGCACATCTGACAAGACTGTAGAAACCTTGAGCCAAGTCTGTGGGAGAAGGACAGCTTGCAAAAGTAGGGATGCCTAGCAGTCTACTTTCTCATCATTCGTCCATGCTCGTGCTGCTGTTTGTGTAGCCGATCACAACTGGCAATTGGAAGGGTCGCTGAGATAATCATCTAAATATGCTGCTGCCGCCGCCGCCGCCGCCGCCGCTGCTGCTGCTGCTGCTACTACTATGTCTACGACTACGACTGCTACTACTACTACTACTACGACGACGACGACGACGACGACGACTATGACTGTGACTATGGCTATGGCTATGGCTATGACTATGGCTATGACTATGGCTATGACTATGACTATGATAATGACTATGACTAGGACTATGACTACGACGACGACGACTACTGCTACTATGGGTCCTCATGATGTTGTTGGTGCTGCTGCTACTGTTACTGCTACTGCTACTTCAACCACTACCTCTACTACTTCGACTACTTACAATTAGAAGTTTCTCGGCTCCTCTTGCAATGCATCAACATGATTTGCTCGACGGCTAAACACAAACGCTGCAGGCGGGGCATGTCGGCGGTGATGAAGCCGGTCTTGTGCGCCCAGTTCTCGGGCGGAAAATCCAAGGTGTAGTACAGTTTAAACCGACCTGAGACACCACTTCGACACCTCTGAATGCTGGTCCCAGTAGCCATCAGCATTACCATCATTATCAGCGTGAGAAGAAGTGGCCTTTGCTATTCCTGGCGAGGTCGTCGAGCATGTCGCGGCCTTGGCCAACGACATGATAAGCGATCGTCGGCTTTCTCTGATCGGCAAGAGCCACAGACCCACAGCGCAGGACTACTGCTCAGTCGACCGCACAAGATATCATTCTCAGTCTTGTTTGCATAAATCCTGCCAGTCCAGATTGGTTGAGACATGGGCTCCGGGCCCTTGCAATCGGCACGCACAACGCTTCGTGGCTGCAGCTGGGCCACAAATAAAAGTTGCAAGAGTCACTAGCATCTCGAAGCGCGGCTTGCACCACCTGCTGCTTTCATGGACAGGGTCTTCCCGCCTGACCTAGCTAACCTCAGCTAGCACCTGCACCACTGTGCATACACCCAGGAATCTAAGGACTTTAGGAGGGACCCCTGATAGGGACCCTTAATCCCATTACCTTAAATAACCATTGTATAGTCCTTATATACCCCTTATATAGCCAATTAACCCCAAGAACCTACAAGGGTCCCTGTTAAGGGTCCCTCCTAAAGCCCTTAGAAGGAAGGTGGAAACCTCCTAAGTCTCCTAAGTCCCTTGCAGAGCCTTCAACCCCAACATCCCCCAACATTGTCAGCATCATCAGCAGCGTGACTTCAACAGCGAAGGCTCTGCGGATCCGAGCTGTGTTTAGACGCCCGAACCGCATTTTGGGTTGCGCTGACGCCTGTTGAGACCGAATCCGTCCCATCTTTGGAACTTTGCCTGTTGAGAAAGCTCTGCCTCTAAAACTGCGAAGCGACGTGGGCCTGTGGTGCAACTTCCATACCTTTTTTCAAATGTCGCTCTTGAGGCACAGCATGGCACATCTTGCACTCGATAGGAAGGAGCAGAGCAAAGGGATCACGCAGAAAATTTGACAAGTTCGCTGCATCCGTCGGTTTGGAGCCTAGATTTGGCCTAAATGCTGCCCAAAGTAGGAAAGCCACCTCCTAAAAGAGTGTTACCCCATGCCCATGCCCACTGCCTGCTTCCTTGCATGTCTTTTTCAAGCCCAAGTTTGCTTGATGGCTGAAACCTCTCAATTTGAAAAGAAACAAACCAACTTTGCCTGGAGCATCGGGGTCAGCCCAGTTCCTCCCGCCAACATCCCAATGTGTTTGACGGTTACCTGCCAAGACAGAGAAGCTCGCAGTTCAAGGGCGACGGACAATCTTGACTTCGAGCTGAGGCAAGCACAGTCTTACCCGGAAGTTTGAAAGTTCCTTGGCCCAGGTACTCGTTGACACCAAGTGGCCCTGTCACGCAATGTCACTGGGGACGAAGACACTGAAGCACTTCCAGGCAGAGACAGACCCACACAGCGCCTGCAATCTCGATCCAATCTCCAGGCTTCTTGCCTGGCATACGATGGACAGGCAGTCGCGGCAGTGAAACAAATGGTGTCCGAAGGAGGGAATTCCCAAATGGGCAGGATTGCTGTCGAGGTAGAGGCCCATCTTGCCACCTCAAGAACCGAACAGGGCCACAGGCCTTCGGTTCGGTTGGTTGCATAGAAACAAACTGGTGTGATGGAGCTATGCCACTCAATTTCAATAGGTCACCGCACCGTCTTCCCACTTCATCTCCTTGCCATCCGGCATTTTGACCGTTCCGGGCCTGTAGATTTTGACCTTTGCAATCGCACAACTTAGGGCAAGTCATGAGCTGTCGATGTCGGTGTCGCCTTGCATCTTTCGGCTACGAATGCGCGTCACCTGCCCTTGGGTTCTCGAGGGGAAAGACACTCTTCTTCTTTCGGGGACTCCCATCATTTTCAGTCACTTGCTCCCCGCCCTGGAACAACAGCTTGGGCATGCAACCCGGACCCGGCCCCACTCCTGCTGGCATCCCACCCACTTCGGATGCCTTGGCCTAACCGTGGTTTACACACCGCCGGAGGCAATCTTTCTGCACTTTGCTTAAAGGTCGCATCCTTGATCCACAATATAGCACTCAGACAGGCCGTGCAGCAGAAATACTGTGGAACTGATGATACTTCGCAATGCTGAGTCGTAAGCTACGAGATCAACGTAGCCTGGCGCCTCGTTTCCGGTGACAGGTGTGTACCTGCAGGCTGACTTGTCAGAACGCGGAATGCGCGCACTGACTGTTGCTTGGTCTGACACGGAAAAGGTCCGGTCACTTCCTGTCAATCTCAGGCTTGCCTTTGTCTTGGTCCGGCCTGACTAGGAAGAAGTGAAACCTGACATGATGGAACCTTGCAAGCCCTTCCACTTTGGAGCTGACTTTCCGTTCCAACTCTTCGACGAGATGGCACTGGGGGGATTCGGGGCATAGATGACGATGTGCTTGCCCACAGGCAAACCTCAGCAGCGTCGGAGACACCGGGCACATTGAAGTCTACCTGTGGCTCCGGCCAAGAATCATCTTCTTGCTTCCGAAAGAGAGCCGGATTCGTTTTGTGTCATGGGACAGCTCCACGACATCAGACACCTTCACCAGCACTAGTTGAGCTCCAGCGGTCCAGGCATCTTGGCACCCCACTTTCCTACGAGTAGAAGGTCCTTCTCTATCAATACGCATTGGTGCAGACTGTTCACTGCTGCCGGGCATGAAGCGAATTTTGTGGGACACGTACGTTGTTCAAGAACTTAAACGACGGCATTTTTCAGCGGCGAGAGGGGGTGCCAAATAATAGCAGTGCTGCCCAGCACATGATCAGACAGCCGCAACACTACGCAAAACAAAAGCGGCAAGTCTCACCAGTGCTCGGTGATCCACCTGTACTCGCTTCCGCTCCCGCGTCAGGAAGACCTTCGGTGGCCTCAACGAAAAACTCGCGTCACCCGTGCTAAGAGGCTACTGAGGCACTCTGGCTGAAAGCTCTTGACATGCCAGCCTTGGCCAGAAGTACAACAACAGTCCGACCTGGGTCGGAATTATCGAGAAGGCTTCTTCAGCTTTGCAAGGGCTAGCGGGCCGAGGAGCTCCGACAGCAAAAGCCGCAGTGGGCACCAGGAGCTTCATGGCATCGTTGCCGTCCATGGCTTTCGGCCTGCACGGCGGCTGGGGCAGGGTAGTGCTTCCGGCTTCCCTGCAGTATCCTGCCTGTCGGATCAACTCGAGTGCTCGAGACAGTGTACTCCGGTTTTGCAACTTCTCCAATAGGGATTCTGACCGAATAAGTCAGGGTGGGTTTGTCATCTTGTCATCTTGTCTGTGAATGCTGCTGGTGCGATGCTGCGACTCTACCGGTCAAGCTCGGACAAAGAGAAGGCGGCGGCGGTGATGGACCTTGCAAGCCTCGTCCAAATTCCTGATTCCTTCCACAGCTCTCCGGGCTGTAAGCTCGAACTCTTCAGTGACTCAGGCAACGGTCCAACCAGCTCTATGATCGTGATCCGCAAGAGTTGGGAAAGAAGATTTCTCCGTTGCATTTGGAGATCAAAATTGGCGAGCGCGCCAACTGCAACCACCATGCAGGCCAACTTGTCTGAATGGACAACACTTTATTGATCACTTTGATCTCGGCTGTTGGGAGGTTCTGGACAGTCAGCTGCATCGGCTTCAACTGTGACAAGCAAGTCACACTCCAAGTCGGGAATGATGTGGGGGTGCAGCATTTCCTGTCAAGAAGGTGAGTTGTAGGCATCTCGGTTCAGCAAAGCAGGCTCACATTTTGGCGTAGGGCACAGGGGCTGTTTAGTACGGGAGTGTACGGTGATTCGAGCAAAGGCGAAGTCTGGCTCTGGTCGATGCCACACTCACTTCTCCATGAACTCCTTCCTGTGCGCGAGGCCGTCATCAGAACCAATACCAGCAAGCCGTGAGTCAAGCTCCCTTGTACGTGCTGCCGAGCCACAGGTTGCTGAGCCATCCTGATTTGTGACATGCCCTGCTATGCACTGCCACTGTTGCATTATCATCCAACCCCGTATCCTAAGTCTCGCAATGTCTTACAGTTGCTGCGCAGGTGCTTTCTATGCCGATTGCTTGTCGTATCGAAAGCATGAAAGCTAGTTCGACCGACCCTGTCCGATGCTTTAAGCCCGTTGCATGAAAATGAGGCTCCAACGGTCAGCATACCGAAGAGAGTGAACTTCTAGCTCACTTGTCCAACCTTCCTCCCTCATCTTAATGATGCTTCCTGTCCATGCGTTTGCTTGCTGTATTGGCCATCCTGATGAACAGCCCAGCACAACAAACCATCCCTTCGTCGTCTCAATCTCGATGGTTTCAAGAACCGACCCACGAGAAAGTTGCTCGGATGCAGCTAGGTCTCGGATGTATTCTCGCTGCTCCTGCGTTGGAAGTATGGGCTCTTCTGCAGAGGCACTGGTTCAGGGCATCACCACAGAAAGAGAGCCGCTGGAGGCAGGACTTGTGCCACAACCGGCCTTATCTAGAGCCATGGCATCAATGAAGTCGCACAACTCTGTGCTGATGCCCGCCTGAGATTATACACTGCAAGCATTCTTCAGGTTCCAGTCTTGTTCAGCTTCCTGCTCGATTGCTTACACCACCAACCCAAAGTTGCCTCGGCCAGCAGCTCGTCCAAGCTCTCCTGACAAAGGCCCGTGGTAGCCCAAAGACCCAACCCCTACCGATAGCGAGGTCGTCCGCAGAAACTCCCTAGGGGCAGGGTGGGAAGAGACCTCTAGAATTTCTCTAGGCATGATTATGTTGCCACACTTTGTGCATCCCCCAAATCTTCGAAGCTTTACGGCACTCTCTTGAGGAAGTCCTGCAGTTTCTCATCGATGTCTTCGAACTCAGGGCCTCAGCAGCGCAAACGTCGGGGTTTCTCGGTCTAAAGTTTGGCCAGGCAGCCGTTGTAGGCGCTCATGCTCTCTTTCTCCTGGCAAAGACTGGATGGAGTACCCGGCAGCGAATTGAGGCAGATCCGGCGCGGAAATGGAACTGAAAGTTGCCTCCTTGCTTGCAAAGGATTTCACGTTGCCGATGACCTTAGGTTGTTGGAGGGCATCCCTCTAAACGTCTTCAAAACCAGTCATCACCGTTGTCAGAAGAGAACCTGAGATTCACAGGCACGAGCATAGCGATGATCCTCGCCGGTCTGCGTGCTGCAGTAGAAGGACACGCCCGCACCACCTTTCGGAACAAGGGGCCTTCCTCCCCATGGTCCCCTGGTTATGTGTCGAATTTCGAGAAGCTTATATGGCAGTCCGATCTTGTATGCGCCGTGCATACATGGTGCCGTGTCGCGTGTCGGTACACCACCCCCAAGGTGGTATCCCCCCATGGTATACACCCGAAATCCTCATGATGGTCGTCGCTTTGGTCTCAAAAGTGCCAACAGTCACGGGGATGAGCCCCCCGAACCCTGGATCCCGGTGAGTATTGTGACTTTTGAAGCTATGCAACTTCGCGGCGTGTCCAAAGCGACGACATTCACCTGGATGGGCCATGGCTTCGGTCTGCGCCGCGCCCAGCTGCTGACCCTAAACCCTAAACCCTTTCATATCTATACACCTAAACCCGAAACAACCCCACCACGCACACCACAGTGGGTGTGCGAGTGCAAACCCAACAAAACCCTAAACCCAACACCCACCACCACACCACAGGGAGGGGGGAACGGGGTTAAACACTAAGCCTGACACCCACAACCCACGGGGAGAGGGGAGGGTTAAGTATCCCAAAACGCACCACCACAGCGCAAAGGGTAGGTGCAAACCCCAAACCCACCCACCAGGGGGGAGGGGGTTTAACACTAAACCTGAAACCCACAACCCACCACCACACCACACCAAAACCACACCACACCAATCCACAGGGGGGGAGAGGGGAGGGTTAAGTAACCCAAAACGCACCACATCACAGTGGGACGAGGGGGGTTAAACAACCCACGTAAACAACCCCACCGCCCACACCACAGTAGGGCGCGGGTGCAAATGCAGCAAACCCTAAACCCTAAACTGAAACCCACAACCCACCACCACACCACACCACACCACAGCACACCAGCCACCACCACACCACAGCGGGACGAGGGGGGTTAAACAACCCACGCAAACAACCCCACCACCCACACCACGGTGGTGCGAGTGCAAACCCTAAACCCTAAACCCAACACCCACCAGGGACACCACACCACACCGCCCCACACGGGGGGAGAGGGGAGGGTTAAGTAACCCAAAACCCACCACTACACCACAGCGAGACGAGCGGGATTAAACGACCCACGAAAACAACCCCACCACCCACACCACAGTGGGGGTCCGAGTGAAAACGCTAAACCCTAAACCCTAAACCCAACACCCACCACCACCACACCACAGGAAGGGGGGAAGGGGCTGAAACACTAAACCGGAAACCCACAACCCACCACCACGGGGGGGAGCGGGGCGGGTAAAACAAACCAAAACCCACCACCACACCACAGCGGGACGAGGCGGGTTAAACAACCCACGCAAACAACCCCACCACCCACACCACGGTGGTGCGAGTGCAAACCCTAAACCCTAAACCCAACACCCACCATCACACCACAGGGAGGCGGGAAGGGGCTTAAACACTAAACATGAAACCCACAACCCGCCACCACACCACACCACACCACAGGGGGGACAGGGGTTAAACAAGCCAAAACCCACCACCACACCACAGCGGGATGATGGGTGAATCATGAGGCCACCCACAGCCCCACAGCTGGACGGAGCCCAGAATTGGCTGGCACGCACCACAGCCAGGCTGGGCGAAGCAGAATGGCGGGGGTAGGCGATACCATGGGGTGAGGGGTTGGGGGGGTCGGGCGACGGGCGGAGCACTTTTTTTTTTCCTAA